GAGAGGTATTTCAAAAGCCTAAGGAACTACCTCCATTTAGAGGACAATTTGATCATCACATTCCACTGAAAGAGGGGGAAAATCCAGTTAACAACAAACCCTATAGGTAATCTCCAGTTCAAAAAGATGTCATCAAAAAAATAGTACATGAACTACAGTCTCAAGGACTTATTCAAAACAATTGCAGTCCTTTTGCTTCTCCAGTGGTTTTGGTGGGCAAGAAAGATGGAAATTGGAGATTGTGTGTGGATTATATGGCCTTGAATCAGATCACAATCAAAGACAAATACTCTATACCTATCATTGAAGAGTTGTTGTATGATTTGAGAGGGTCATAGGTTTACTCCAAGATAGATCTTAGGTCTGGTATCATCAAATAAGGATGACACATGCTGATGTTCCTAAAACTGCCTTTAGGACACACTCAGGTCACTATGAGTACCTAGTTATGCCTTTTGGCCTGACAAATGCACCATCTAGTTTTCAGGGGTTGATGAATCATGTCTTTAAGGAGCACTTGAGAAAGTTTATATTGGTGTTTTTTGATGATATCCTCATTTTCAGCAAAAAGTTTGAAGAAGCATGCTGAACACCTGAAGGTAACTTTTAGACTTTTGTTACAACATCATCTCTTTGCCTTGAGATCAAAGCGCCAATTTGTTGTGACTAGCATAAAGTACTTAACTCATTTTATCTTTACTAAGGGAGTCTCCACTGACCCTAAGAAGATACAAGCAATTCAACAATGGCCAATACCTGTGACTATTAAACACTTGAGGGGTTTTCTAGGGTTGGCAGGCTATTACAGAAGATTCATTAAGGGTTATGAACAAATGGGCAAGCCATTAACTGACTTACTGAAGAAATATGGGTTCAAGTGGGGTGACCATGCCACTGTGGCTTTCCAGAACTTAAAGAATGCTTTGATCTCTGCACTAGTGCTAGCTTTACCAGACTTTAATCTTACCTTTATTGCGAAAACAGATGCATATGATGTAGGTATTGGGGTTGTCATAATGCAAGAAGGGCATTCAATTGCCTACCTCAGTATGGGGCTTTCTCCACAACATCAGGCTATGTCTGTTTATGACAAGGAGTTGTTGGCTTTGGTGATGGCAGTTACAACATGGGGTCAATATATGATTGGTAAGCATTTCATTGTCAAAACTGATCAAAAGGCTCTTAAGTTCCGTTTGGATCAGAAGCTGCATACATGGACACAACTCAAATAGATAACAAAATTGATGCAATTTAATTTTGAAATCCAGTATAAAAAGGGTCAGGAGAACAAAGCTGATGATGCACTTTCCAGAATTACAGCAGTGGAGATTGCTGCTCTCATACTTTCAACTACGAGGACAGACCTCTTGCAAGCTATCAAATATAGCTGGGATGTTGATCCAGCAGTGAAGGCAATAATTTATAAACTTACAGATTCTACTGAGGAAGTGAAGGGGTGCTCATATATCAACCAACAGTTGAGGAAGAATGGAAGATTAGTTGTTGGGGAAAAATCCTGCATCAAGGAAAGAAATTATTCAACTGTGGCATGACTTTGTAATTGGGGGGCACTTTGGGATTGGCCATACTTATAGGATGTTGGCTGCTCTTTTTTACTGGAAGGGAAAATAGAGATGTGGAAGCTTATGTCAAAAGGTGTGATACTTGTGAGAAGAACAAGTATGACAAGTCATCATACTCAGGATTGTTGCAGCCTCTAAAAATTCCTTCTCTAGCTTGGAGCAGCCTTAGTATGGATTTCATTGAAGGGCTGCCTAAGTCAAAAGGGAAATATGTCATATGGGTGGTAGTAGATAGGCTGACTAAGTATGCCCATTTTGTTGCCTTATTACACCCCTATTCTGCCTTAGATATTGCCAAACTATTAGTGGATCATATATTCAAGTTGCAATAATGTCAGAAGATATTGTTAGTTATAGGGATCCAGTCTTCACTAGCAAGCTATGGCAGGAACTTTTTGCAATGCAAGGGGTGATCCTAAACATATCTACTGCCTATCATCCTCAATATGATAGCCAGACCGAGGTTACTAACAGGTGTCTTGACGCATATTTAAGGTGTTATTATTCTGATTCTCCTAAAGATTGGGTTCGGTACTTAGCTTTTGCAGAATGGTGGTACAACACCGCCTTCCACACCTCCATCCAAACAACTTCATATGAAGCTTTGTATGGACAACCTACACCATTACATTTACCATATATGCAAGGTGAATCAGAGGTAGTAAATGTGGACATGAGTTTGACTACCAGGGAATTGAAATTGCAACTGCTGAAGTTCCACTTGACTAGGTCAAAACAGAGGATGAGAGATCAAACAAACAAAAATAGAACTGATAGACAATTCCAGATAGGGGACTAGATTTACTTGAAGATACAACCCTATAGGCAACTATCTCTATCAAGCAGGCATTTCAACAAACTCTCTTCCAAATACTATGGGCCCTATCAAATTCTCCAAAGGATTGGTAATGTTGCTTACAAGCTAGCTTTGCCACACCAATTACCTATACATCCTACCTTCCATGTTTTCCTCCTTAAACCCTGCTATGAAGTTCGTACCTCCATAAATCACCCTCTATTTCTAGACTTGTCCAGCCCCTACTGTCCATATCCTAGAGAGTATGATGGTATGAAAGGGTAACAAAGTAGTGGTTCAGGTATTAACTCAATGGGAGCAATTACTAGAGGACCATACAACATGGGAAGATTCAAATGCATTGAAAGTTAGATTTCCAGCTGTCATTCCTTGAGGTCAAGGAATTTTTCAGGGGGGAGTACTGATATGATCTGAGTTGTGCATAGCTGCGAGAAGTAGTACGTTAGGCTTTATTAGTAGTAAAGAATAAGTGGTTAAGTTTGTTATAGAGTTAAGGATTTTGATAATTTCGTCCTTTACTCATTTACACTTAAGTTCATTAGTTTTTATCACTTTACTTTCGAGTCCATCTTCCTAGTAAGGAGATATATGTATCATATTGAGCTCATTTGGAAATATATCAATTATCAAATATGAATTTTGCTCTCTCATTTTCTTAGTTTCTTAATTCCTTTAATTTTTGTTTTTTATTCTCAAGTTACATCAATTACCCTAAAAAATAAAGCAACAATACACATGGATACTTAAATAGCATAACAACAATGGAGGTGGAGATGATTTGTCGTACAAGAACAAATGTGACATTCAAAATTATAACAGCTATAAGGATATCAAGCTACTAAGCCACACTATGAAAGTTGGGAGAGGGTGACAGAGATGAGGGTAAGGAGAAGTGTGTTTATTTTCGAGAATCAGTTCGGATTCATGCTGGGGCAATCGACTAAAGAAGCCATTTACCTTGTTAGCAGAGCAATTGAGCAGTATAGGAAGAGAATGAGGGCTTACATTTGGTGTTTATCGACCTAGAAAAATATTATGATAAAGTCCCAAGGGAGATCATGTGGAAATGTTTAGAGGCTAGAGGTTTACCTATTGCATATACCAAGGCGATTAAAGATAAGTATGGCAGAGCCAAGACTCGGGTAAGGATAGTAGGAGGGTACTCCAGACACTTACCCGTCATGATGGAGTTCCATCAGGGCTCAGCTCTTAACCTGTTCTTATTTGCCTTGGTGATGGATGAATTTACGCGATACATCTAAGGGGAGGTATCTTGGCGCATATTATTTGCAAATGACATAATGTTGATTGAGGAGACACGATGCAGGTTTAATGCTAGATTGGAGGTATAGAGGCAGACACTTGAGTCTAAAGATTTCAGGTTGAGTAAGACTAATACAGAATATTTGGAGCGAAAGTTCAGTGATGTGACTCAGGAGGATGACGTGAAAGTGAGGTTGGATACACAAGTCATCCCACGAAAAGAAGTTTTAATTATATTGGGTCTTTAATCCAAGTAATGAGGAGATTGATGATGATGTCACACATCGTATCGGAGCAGAGCACATAAAATGGAGACTCACATTTGTCATTTTGTAAGATAAGAATGTGCCACCAAAGCTTAAAGGTAAGTTTTACAAGGTGGTTATTAGATTCACTATGTTGTAAGGGATGAAGCTTTGGCCAGACAAGATCTCTCATATTTAGAAGATGAAAGTAGCAAAAATGAGAATGTTGAAATGAATGTGTGGGCATACTAGGAGAGATATGATTAAGAATGAGGATATTCTGGATAAGGTAGGAGTAGTCTTTGTAGTGGACAAGATGCGAATAACGGAGCTAAGATGGTTCAAGCATGTAAATAGGAGATGCACTGTTGCCCTAGCGGGGGAGAGGGTATGGGCGGTTGGCTATGGTTGGGCCAAGGAGAAGTAGAAGTATGCCAAAGAAGTATTGGGGTGAGGTGATGAGGCAGGACATGAAACATTTTTAGCTTATCGAGGACATGACCTTGATAGAAAGGTATGAAGATCGGGTATTAGAGTAGTAGGTTAGTAAGTAGTCGAGCGTACTATAATTTAATATTTCTTTTTCATATATATATTGCTTTCACATACCTGTAGTACTAGTATAGTCAAGTATTTTCTATTCTTTGAGTTTTATTACTGCATGCTTTTTCTTTTGTTTCAGTTATCTTATTTATCTAGTTGTTGCTACTACTTCTCTTTCCTATGGCATCTTCACTTTCGTATCTTTTTCTTAAAACTGTTGTGATTTTGCTTTCTTGAGTTGAAGGTCTATCAGAAACATCGTCTCTACCTTCATAAGATAGGGTTTAAGGTGTGCATATATATTACTCTCCCTAGACTACACTTGTGTAATTACACTAAGTATGTTGTTGTAGTTCATATTTAATCAAATTTGTAAGAATCATTAATAAAAGAATCAAAAGTATACATTTCAATTAATTGAAGACCTAAAATCAGAATTTATTGATATATGAGGACCAAAAGCGCAAGTTTTCCTTTGAGATAAATAGAGAACAATAATTGATTCTTTGACAGGAAGAGAAAAAAGAGAGAAATAAAAGATCATTTTCAACGAGCTGAGTTTCTCAGCACGTTCCTCAATTCTGTCTTCTAGTCCTGTTTTTTACTAATATTCTTTCTCAGCACCTTCCTTTACTCTTTCCTTTTCCATAAACCAACAAAAGTTCCCACTTTACCTCAAATCTCAAACTCTCATTTCTTGATTCCCTTTTACTCCAATTCAACTCATCTGTGACTGATTCACTCTCTGTTCTTCTTCTAAAAGATGGCTTCTCCTGTGGAAGAAGGTAATTCTAACCATATTTATATTCCATAAAATTAAAAAGAAATCATAATTGAGTTGATCATCGAATTATCAGTAGCTAGCTTCTATACTTCCAGTGCTTTCTGTTTGATTAGCTGAAGATATAGTTTTAAGTATATATGGGTATTTCGCTGTAGAGATTTATATGTAGAAATATGGTTCTTAGTCCCCC